GAAAAAGGGGGTGGGTGGGGGTAAGGTGTTGTGTTAGTTTTATCTTGGCTTCTCATTATCCAAATTGATTTTAATTGGCAGTAAATAAAATTAATTTTCCCCAAGTTGAGTCTCTTTTGCCTGTGACAGTAATTGATAAGGCGTCTCCATATCTTCATATCAACCCATGAGCTTTTCCGTCTTACTTTTTCCCCCTGTCCTGTTTGGGGAGCGGGAGTGATGGCGCGGTGGGGTGGACATCTGGCAGCTGGCCACGGTCAACCCACCACAGTAGCAAACATTCATTTTTGCTACCCTAAGTACCGTTGGTGCCGGAAATGCTTGGCACAACCTCTGTGTCATGGCTGTAGCAAAAGCCAGGTGACTGCAGTTCATAAAAAAGCAGGATAGTAGTTGTTTCTGTTAAGGTTTTCGACCTTACTTGGCTGTGCTCTGGTTCCTTGGTGCCTCTGCCATCCGTGGAGGTCTCATGGGTTGTAGCTTACTGAAGATAGACGTGGTGGCAAAGTAGAAACAGTGGCTTATTTGACTGAATGCAAGGGTGAGCCTTTCCTTGTCCATGAGGTGTCCAGGGCAGTACCTGCTGCATTAGTAACCTTCGTTTTAATAGAAATAGTGAGTGTAATGGGTTTTTTTATAGATACGGGGACTGTTCATAGAGCAGTAAGAGTGAAATGGATGAGAGCGGGAGTGAGCTTCATGCCTTTGTGTCAAAGCGCTGCTGTATGACTGCCTGTTCTCCCTCTGCTTGGGGGAAAATGGAGAGCTTTTCCATTGTCGAACCCGTGTCCCTGGGCCTGTACCCCTTCTTGTTCCTACTCTTGCTTCCTTCTTCCTCCTGAGAGTAATTGGGAATTGAGGGAATTTAACACTGTTTAGTGCCTGGCATGTAGTTTTGCATGTCACGAAGGCAGACAGTAAACCCAGGACCACCTTAGGAAGCTGTAGCAGCGAGACAGGGCAGAGGTACACCAGTGGAAGGGAAGCTTAGGATCTGTACAAGCAGGAGTTCAATGTATTCCTACAAAGGGTTTGGAGTGGTTTCCATTGCTGCTGCATATGGGGTAGTACTTGTAGTTTTAATCCTGTTCACTTAGGGTGGAACTCACTTGAGGGGAACACATGTGTTTTGTGTAGCACTGAGTGGTGGCCAAGCAGCTTTCATTTAGCAGTCCAGTTCCAGCAAGGGATTCCCACGCTGGTGCCATAGCTGGAGTGGGAAAAACCTGGCTTGGATATTCCATGAGTTTTCCGATATTGTAGTATTTCAGAATTGCATTGGTTCCAGGAAAAGGCTTATCCTGACTTTTCTTTGAATGCCTGCCTGAAGAGACTGAACTCGTCGGGAGTGCATCGCTGGTTCCTGGCAGATGGGACTGGTGAAGATGACAGAAGGGACGTTTTACTGTAATTTCCTCTTTTCCCCTCTGTCATGTACTCTGACTTATTTAGAGTCCTAGCGATTTGCAAAATGAAGGTGTGATTTATGGTATTCTGCGTATACTTTGTGGTAACTTTATTAATGCAGGAAGTTTATTTGCGGTTACTAAATCTTCAGTCATTTAAATTGCTTTAAAATTTATATGGTTTGGGAGCAAAATTTCAGCCTCACTGAAATCAGTGGCAAAACCACCACTGCCACTGGGATAAGATTTGACCTGTGATGCTTTAACAAACGTGTTCTAAAAAACCTTTCTGCTCCTAATTGCATTCCTTTGTTCTTTTTTCCTTAAGTCTTGTGAAGAAAACAATCTGAAGACAATGCATCTGTGACCCCTGATACCAGCCTGTGAGCCAGGGCGATGGAAGTTGTAGCGGGCCGTCGGCATACTGGTCCCATGATAGCTCCAAATGGATATGCAAACAGGATTTTCCAAGCAAACATGGAGGAAGGGAGTACTGACGCGTTGGAGGTCTGTGGTGCTGAGCACTGCACCTCCAGCGATGCAATCCCGAATGAACGGGAGGAAGCACCCAGGTATAAGAAGACAACCAAGGGCAACCGGATCTGGAATTTTGTTAGACGAAGGAAAGGACTCTCTACGAATAAAGGAAGACCCCAGTCCATGATCCTACTGGGAGTTACCTCTGAGGTCTCAGAATTAAAAAAACCATCCTTCATGGACAGGGTAAGGCCGTTAAAAAAGGGAAGAACCTCCAGGATGCCTAAGAATGTGGATTTGAGGGCATCCAGAGTCCAGGTTGCTTGTGACCCTGAGGAGGACCATCATGCCAGCGGGCAAAGAGCTGTCTACAGGGTTAAGAAACTGGGTGACAGTCGGAGGCCCTCCCGCCACTCGTATGCGGGGTACATTGATGATTTGGATTCTTCTTTTGAAGACATAGAGCTGAATATCAGCATTCCTGAAATTGATGCCAATGAAAGTAAATGTCTCAGGGATATTAGTGTCAGATTACACAGTGAAGATAATGATAGTAACTGCCATAGAATACCAGCTAGAAAGAGTGAGTCTTTGAATTTTGAAAACTTTAAGAGTCCTGCAATTACAGAAGGGGACAATCAAAAGAGGTGTACTGTGCTCCCACAGGAGAGCAGAAGAGGAAGAAGCTCTGATGTATGGAGCTATCTGAAAGGAATTTCATTAACTGGCAAAGATAATTCAAAGCTTCCAGATCAAAGGGCTGAAACCAATTTCCAGAACTTAGAAAATATAACTGATCATTCTACTTCTTATTTTGACTTTGATACGAGATGTGAGGAGAATCTCAGCCAGCGGAAAAAATCAAACAGTGCAACCAAAGCCACTCACTTTGGGGGTGTTGTGAGGTTCTTCAGCAGTGTGGCCGAGGCAGCCCGGAGGCTGCGAGGCTCCTCAAGGGCATTTTCGCCTGATGAGAAAAGGCCTCAGCGGAGTTTCCGAAGCTGGAGGCAGGATGTTACCTCCCAGAAAGAGGGCTTGGTTATCGAGAACGAGGGCGCAAGGGCCTTCTGCACGGTGGGAGCGTGCCTGCAGTCCCCAGATTCAGGCACATGGGACAATCTGAGCTTTGAGAGTTTGGTGGGGAAGGAGCCCATGCAGCAGTGCAAAATGACAGAAGTGTCGCAAGACGTTGGCTCCTCTGCCCTGGGCAGCGAGAATGATAGATTTAATGAAACATCACTTTCTCCCTTTGAGCCAGAACCGTCCATCTCCCACCTGCCAGAGCTCGCAGATGACTCTCTCACTGAGCTAAATACTAAAGACTCCTCTGAGGATCTGACCGACTTCCCACAGACGACTCTGACTAAACAGATTCAGGATTCGGGCAGTTCTCCAGAGAAGGCACAGGTCACGGGCAGGGACCTGCCATGTTCTCAAGGTCTTCCTGTGAATAATCTGGATACTGCGGACCTGGGCCGTTCTTCAGCTGCAGATGGTGACTTTTCTGCAGCGACTGAGGCTGTGATCCACCTTCCACAGATGACCCTGACTAAACTTGATACTGAGGACGTGGCTTGTGCTCCGGTGGTTGCTAAAGACACAGGTCCGTCTCCAGCAGTGGCTCAGGAGCTTTCAAAGACAGAACTGGATATGCAGGACTTAAGAAATCCTGAGCTGTCTTTGCAAGACTTGTCTAGAGGTGAGCTGGGGATTCAGGACTTGGGCAGTACTCCAGAGAAGACACAGGTGGTGGGCAGGGCCCTGCCACATTCTCAAGATCTTCCTGTGAATAATCTGGATGCTGCGGACCTGGGCTGTTCTCCAGCTGCTGATGGTGACTTTTCTGTAGTGACTTTTATAGAATGTGCAACAGTTAAAGGACAGGTTTTAGAGCAGACTGATTGCCACATTAAAAAGTGCGGAACCACTTCATTTGTAGAACAAAACTCTGTAGAGGTAACTGACAGAGGGGAACAGTTTAACTGTAACGACGAGTGCCGTCCGTTCCAAGTGCACGTCTCTAGAATTGTCTCCTCCGGACGGCTCAAAAACGGAAAGGTATGAGTACCTTTTACTGTAATGTTTTCAATAAGACCATACTGTTACGCACCTTATGAAGATGGTTTGCACTTGAAAGCATTTTTATATATTCCTCATTGGGTTTTTCAGTTAAGTAGACCGTCATGTGAATGATGGCAGTAGTCACAGCTTTTACATCAGCCTGAGAGGAGTCAGTTAACAGGCATATCCCTGACCTATTAGTGTGAACCTTCAGAGCTGCTCCTCCTACGACCCTTTGGCCATTTGTTTGTATCAGTGCCTCTAGAAGAGGGCTGTAGCAGAAGTTTATGTATTTCTAGGCGCTACCTTTAATTTTTTTCCTTGCTGCATTTAGTTCATTTGAAGTCGAAACTTGTAAGAAGAGTGCTTTTGACAAATTCAGAGTTTTGAAGTGTGCCGTGGACAAATGGCGTTCAGCAATTGCACTATGGCCCTTGTGTTTTCTTACCTGAAAAAGTGGTAGAGGTGGTGGTCGTTGATTTTTGTTAGGTGATGCTGGTTACAACGCAGCATCTAGAATACCAGTCAGAGTCCTGGCACACAGTGCAAGAACAGGAAAAAAAAAAAAAGGTGGCCCCTGTCTTGTAAAGCTCATCAGATCATTTCTCTGGCAGATCTAAATGAGCTCTCTCCCTGCTCCAAACCTGTCAGAAGTTGTGTGGCCTGTATAGTTTGGTGCTGAGCCTGTAGCAGAAAGCCTTGCTAAGGGGCTGGGTGCGTAGTGTGAGCAAAATGCCTTCCTAATGTGACTACACGCCGAGTGGGCGTCTGGTCAGAGCTGCCTTGCATCTGCCTCTACACAAAATGACATAGCCTTTTGGGGTGTTAAATACCCAGCCCTAAGTGAAAGGTGGGCAGTGGTGGTGGCTGTAATTATGGCAGTGCATTCCTGTTACCTGAAAAAGTGGTAGAGGTGGTGGTCGTTGATTTTTGTTAGGTGGTGCTGGTTACAACGCAGCATCTAGAATACCAGAGTCCTGGCACAAAGTGCAAGAACAGGGAAAAAAAAAAAGGCGGCCCCTGTCTTGTAAAGCTCATCAGATCATTTCTCTGGCAGATCTAAATGAGCTCTCTCCCTGCTCCAAACCTGTCAGAAGTTGTGTGGCCTGTATAGTTTGGTGCTGAGCCTGTAGCAGAAAGCCTTGCTAAGGGGCTGGGTGCGTAGTGTGAGCAAAATGCCTTCCTAATGTGACTACACGCCGAGTGGGCGTCTGGTCAGAGCTGCCTTGCATCTGCCTCTACACAAAATGACATAGCCTTTTGGGGTGTTAAATACCCAGCCCTAAGTGAAAGGTGGGCAGTGGTGGTGGCTGTAATTATGGCAGTGCATTCCTGTTTGTTACAAGCAAGCCTTTCGAAGCCCTTAAAATTGTCAAAACATTTAAGTGGACATTGCATTTTGGACTAGGTTCTGGATATTACAAATCTGTATTGTCCAGCTTAATGCTAGGAAACCTCAGAAGTCCTATGGATGAGGGAGTCATACATACAGGATGAGAAAAGGCTTCCTGAAGGCGATAGACGCCCCCATTAACTCTCAGCCCATTGCTGTAGCACCTGCGCACGTATCGCTGTGTGTGGAGCAGAAATCTGTGAGCGGCAGCAGCCGCAGCAGCTGTGCCAGGTCACTTGCCAGCATGGCCCAGCCTTGCGTCTCACAGGAGAGGCAGTTTTGCACCCTGCTCAGCCACGGAAGGGTCTACCGAGGCTCACGTCGCTCCATGCCAGTTGTAGAATCAGTTCAGGTTTGTGGACAACCCGTGGCAGGACCCAGCGTGAAGCCCAGCTGTTTTCTTTTGGGTCCCTGCTGATTAGCTGAGGCTGAAATGATGACTTTCTTTTTTGTTTTAAGGTGCCAGGTAGGGAATTGGGTCAATTCGTGAAGAAACTTTCTCCTTTCCTTTTGGGCTCGGAGAGGCCAGAGATGTTACAGAGGTGATGACATTGTTCCCTGTTAGAAAAGGGGTCACTGTAACTTCTGAGCCAAGAGGGGAAGTGTTTGAAAATTGGCAGCAGATTAGAAATGCCGGGGGAAAAAAATCTGAACTTCTGACTCCCAGCTAAAATGGGCAGTACCATTGTTAGTTATTCCTGGATTTGTTTTTCTGCTCCGTTTTGTGTAATACAAAAAAATAGAGACAGCTCGCTGTGTAATTCCAGGCACTTACGAAGTGGGGTGAATAGCGGTTAGTCACTTCTTGTGGTTTCTAGAAGAAATGTTTTTAGGAGGAGCTTGAATGAGAAGGGCTGTGGTTTGATGTCCCTTCACAGGGACCAAACTGAAAGTATTCTGGGCAGGAGCAAGATAACAGAGGCACGAAAGGATTGAGTGGAGCCGAGGAAAGTATTGGCACTCTTTTCCCAGAGCAGCCACATCTCTGCTAGCTGAGGGCGATGGCTGCATGCCTAATCGCAGAGCTTTTAGGGCAAAATCTGAGCAATTTCCCAGGTCACCTGTGTGAACAGGAGATGCGGTAAGTCCCAGCTCAGCTGTTGCAGCTTACAAACATCACCAAGAAACTTAAATATGGTACTTGAGATAACTGGACAGGAAACCTCCCCCGAGTTCCCGTCGAGTGTGGCGATAGCAGTACGACCTCCGGATTGCCGTGGCTCCCGGCTTCACGGAAGGCCTGCTGCCTCACTAGGCAGAAGCAGCAGCGGGATGGAAGGGAAAGCATACAGCCCGCCCTGGTTTGTAAACACCTTCTGCATCCCAGAAACTCGGACTAGAGATTTAGAAACACACAGTGATCTGGCGGCAGCATCAAACCTAGAGCAGTCAAGAGTGAGGCTAAAGAAGGGATACTCTTGGATAGGAACGCACCTAGAGAGTCCGCCAGCAGCTCCAGTAACAAATGTCCTGAGATACCCGGGGGATTCGCTTGCCTATCTCTCATCAGGGAGCGGCACTCGGAAACGTTTTGCCAAAAATAAACATGCAAGAGGAATAACTTCAGCCTGAGCGTGACAGTAGCAGCAGCCTGTTATTGTTTTAGGGCTAAATCCAGCTCTTTGCTGGCACCTGTTCCCCAGGACAGTTGTTGGCCCTCCTGCCTCCACTCCAGGCTGCTCTGCGTTAATTGAAGGATTTGTATTTCAAGTGAAATGCTCAACCACAAGTAGGGAGAAGGTGCTGCCAGGACGGGGCGGCTTGGCTTGGTCAGCTGCTGTAAGCAAGCGCTCCAGCAGTTTTAAAGTGTGCTAGCAGTGTAGAGCAGAAATAGCTCAGGCAAATATTTTCAAAACAACCTACATATTGTCCCACACAAAGCACAAAAGTGCCGGTTCTTACTGAGCCTCCCTGCCCAAACCTGTTAGGAGGTGATAGAAGAGAATGAGGCTGGTGTAGCACAAAGGATGCTGGAGTGGGATTTAGGGGACCTGTGCACTGGTCCTAGTGGTAGCAGATCTGTTTAGCTGTACTCTCCTGCAATTAATGCCCCTGTTTCTTGCTTTCCTAGTCTTGCCTTTTAAAATTGTAATGTCTTTGGGCAGGAGCTGAGTGATGTTACAGGCAAGTAACAGCTCAACAGGAATTGATCTTAATGCTGTAGAGGAAATAGCATTGCAGCAGCATTTTAAGAGCAGCTGTAGAAAGGTAGAAAACCGCTTACTTCTCAAACTGTCCCCCTGCCTAGTTGCTTTCAGACCCCATCCCAAATTGTCGTTTGTTTTGGGAATTTGTGGAACAGTGGCGATAGAAACATTTTGAGGATTTGAAAGAACAGTAAAGGTCAAAACAGATTGTCAATGGGAAATGAATTACTGATTTCACCACTCACACTGCTGCAACTCTGGAATGAAAGTGCCTTCCTTATTTTGAGAGGTAGATATGAGAAATGAACTGAAAGATGATATGGAGGTGTTACTAGATTTTGGACAGTTGCAAACTACAAAAGTTTCCATTTTCCATGTCCCCACTGAAGTGAATGATCTTCATCCCACCTCTGAAAACACCACAGCATCCCAACAGGGAGAATGCTGCTGCAGGGCGTCAGACATAGCCCCAGAAGTTGTATTTGACCGCTTCCAGTAGCTTGAGATGATGCTTAGGTGGAGGGAAGATTTGATACCACATAGACTACTTTGCGGTTCTGGCTTTTCCATCGGGGTTTCAAACCACCTGATGTGTCCTTGGATAGGGTTTGTGGGGGATTTGATACCTCCTTTGGGAATGACACAAGGAAAGGTTGCAAAATATGCATCTGACTTCAGATTTCAGGCATCAGTTCAGAGTTTTTGGGACCCAGAAACTTGATTCAGGCTTATGGCTGGCAGGGAGATCCTCCCCGCTCGTCTCAGGGGCACACACAGGGACGGGGCACTGCAGAGAGAGCATTTTGGCTTGTGTCACTCTTGCAGTGAAGGAGCAGAGGGTTTTCACTGCAGTCTTTCTATGCCCTCTGCTGGTTTATTTGTGAAATAAGAGTTTATTTTTACGGAACAGAAAGCCTTATCTTTTTCCTTAGGATTTTGAATTTTATCTCCAAAAGGTTTACAGGCTGCAGCTTGCTGCTGGCTGTTGTGGCTGCACGTAGACAGCAGTTGGTTTTGTGATGCCATTTTCCGGGGGAATTTATGATTGCCAGAAGGGTGAAAATGAGATTTGTACAGGCTTGTCAACCTGGGCAAAAGGTGTCCGTCCCATAGGATGGGGCGGCAGGCTGACCCGGGATGGCCCGGGTTTCCCAGCCAGTTTGGTTTCAGAGTCCTGTAAGGGGCTGTCTGATCGAACTCACTTCTCAGCATCGCGGCAGATGGTTGCAGATGTTTCCCTTGAGCAGCCGTCGAGTTTGTTCCTCTGAGTCCCGTACTTAGGAGCCAACCGGTCCAGGTGCCATAAAGGCGCTCCCTGTTGCGGAGTGGCCCATACTGAATGGCGCAGGATCGGTGCTTTCACGGCGTTAGTAGGTTCTGTGATTTCTGTGCGATAGCTGCACACTGTGTTGCTCTGTGTGGGAAAATCGCAGACTTTCCCTGTGCGGTGGGTCTAACTGGAAGCACAGGATTACTGATTTGCCTGAGCGTGCGCATGCCAGAGGATGCCTTTGCAGATTTGCGATCTGATAGCTGGGGAACATCTCGGATCCTCCCACAGGTTTGGTGTTTTCCTTTAGTGCAGCAGCTGCAAGTGCCTTTTCAGGAGAGGAAGATGCAGCAACTTTCTTTGTCTGTGTTTGATGAGAAATTGCAAGTGATGTGCAACAAGTTCTCATAGTGACCGTTAGCTTGAGGTTGTTTTATTTACAGAACATTTGGGAGCAGCTGCAGAAATGGGACTGCTGAGTCGATTTGTCTTTTCCCTCCCTGCTCTGTTGAATGACACTAACCAGGAAAAGGCTGTGTCTGAGAGCTGATCGTCAGAGCTCTCTTCATAGAATCATAGAATCATAGAATCATTAAGGTTGGAAGAGACCTCCAAGATCATCGAGTCCAACCATCAACCCAACACCCCCATGCCCACTAAACCATGTCCCTAAGTGCCTCATCTACCCGTCTTTTAAATACTTCCAGGGATGGTGACTCAACCACTCCCCTGGCCAGCCTGTTCCAATGTTTAACCACTCTTTCAGTAAAGAAATTTTTCCTCACATCCAATCTAAACCTCCCCTGGCGCAACTTGAGGCCATTTCCTCTCGTCCTTTCGCCAGTTACTTGGGAGAAGAGACCGACCCCCCCCTCGCTACAACCTCCTTTCAGGTAGTTGTAGAGAGCGATGAGGTCTCCCCTCAGCCTCCTTTTCTCCAGGCTGAACAACCCCAGCTCCCTCAGCCGCTCCTCATCAGACTTGTTCTCCAGACCCCTCACCAGCCTCGTTGCCCTTCTCTGGACACGTTCCAACATCTCAACATCCTTCTTGTAGTGAGGGGCCCAAAACTGAACACAGTTTCATCTCCAGGTTATTGGCAGTACGCTGGGTTGTGTCTCAGCCTACTGCTGGTAGTTGTGCTTACAAAAGAATTCATAGTCCTTCCAAATTAAGAAATAGTACTTTACTTTCTAAATCCTGCCGTTGCCAGAAGAACACTATACTCCTGTCTGTAGCGAGGTAGGATTTAATTGCAGAATGAAGATTCTGTGTATTTATGGCTTTTAATATGGTTATATCTGACAATCATCTTATTTTTAGTGGAGGCAAAACCTCTAAAGCCTATCTCCAAGCTGTTCAGATTTTCGTATTTTTAATAGCCACGAGGTGTTAGGAAAATCTTGAGTTAAACCCTATATTTAGTGCTCTCTATAGTGGGGTAGGGTTTTTTTGGGAAACATTTTTTTAGCATGGTGGAGTTTGGCAAGGCAGGTTGAGTTTGCAAAGCTGATAGGCTTTACATGTATATATAACCAGCTACTGAACACATGGATAATTCAGATTTCCACGTTTTCTTAAAATACTTGTTGGGTCTTGCCTTCATCTAGTTCCCAGCCTCAAAGTTACAACAGGCCACGTCCTGCCATCCTTGGTGCCATCAGAGTAGTGATACGAATGGGGACCTCTGGGCATTGCTGGCCTATATGCTAAAGGGACTGTTTGTCTGAAACTTCTCTGGGTGGAAGGTTTCCTGTGGCTTTTACCTCCTCCCAGCCATTATCCAGTCAAGAGAAGCGTACTGGGTCACTGGACACGGGGCTGGTGCTGGGAGCAGGGAACAGGAGATCAAGCCTTAATTCATCCACAGACTCCCACTGTGCCTTTGGGGTAATTATAGTCCGTCCACTTCGTTCTTCATCTGTAAATAAAGATAATAGCACACCAGTGAAAACTGGGGCTGCTAGAGTCTGGAGGACAGATACACCAAACCATGAGGCACCCAGTTATTAGCAGGGCTGTGGAAGTATGACAATTCTGTCTCTAATTGAGGCTAGAAGCCTCCCAGTGAGGAGCTCCTCCTGTTTTCTTCTCCTGTCCTTTGTAAACTGATTTTTCTGCTGATTTCTTGACTCCAAGATTATACACAAGACTTTCCTGGTGTCACATGTCAGAGAATGAAATGAAAAGTAGGAGTTTGAATTGTGATTTTTTTTTTTTTTAAAAAGAAAATTCCATTCTGCAAAATATCGCTGTACAAGTTGTCTCTTTCAGGGTCTTTTCCTCCTGAAATAGGATAATAGAAGTTGGAGTCACCCAAAAGTGAGGGAAACGCCAACCTTTGTCTCCAGTTAGCTATAAATGCTAATTCATTCTTTGGATTAATGTTACGATACGTTAAGGTATAACTGGGGTATTTGACCACTTTATGCAATCAATTGCAAGTATCTTACTGTTTCAAGTAATATTTCGTAGGCTATTGATACAGAGGACGTGTCTTGTTAGCAGTTGTTATCAGTCAGCTTCCAGAGAAACTACTGTGATAATTTCTGCTTTCCTCTATGAACCTTTCAGGGAAAATAATTGTTCTAGTTTTGCTAAAAACATACCTGGGCATTTTCAGAGAACGAGAAAGAGGTCCCAGTTTACTTTTAAGTGCTGTGGTTTGCCCCACCCTTGCATTTGGACCATCCGAAACCTGGCAAGGGCTGTAACTTGTGTTCTCCCTGGAAATGAGGCACACCATAATAACTGAAAAAAAACCCCAATTGTGGTGGTAGGTGCTACATACATTAGAGAGAAAATGGTGCAGAGGGGTGTGTTGTCGGTGGCCCCCTGTACCAGATGTTCAGAGGAAGGTGCAGACCAACCCCGTTCGGTGCACTGTGCCCAGCTCTGTGTGTGTGTGTGCGCACTGGGTGCTTCGGGACCCTGTTCTGGTCCAAACGGTGCTGCTGTAAAGAGCAAGCATTAGAAGTGCTGGGCAATGTGATTAGGAGCTAACCTTTTAGCAACAGTAGCAACTTTGGACCTGTTTTGATCAGCGGGGAATATTACCTGTGTTTCATGTCCTACAATAAGCTAAAACCCAGTATTTTGGGAAAAGACCTAGAAAAACTTGTAAGGATAACACAAAGGGCTGAAGCATGGTCCGAAGCCGATGGTCCTTGGTGGATTTCATACAGAGCAAGGCCAGGCCATCTGCAAGCAGCTGGGTACATCTCCCCAGACACACCAGAAGCTGCCAGAAGAAGATGTAGGGTGGGTAGGAAGTATCTTGAAAGAAAAGCAGCTGTGCTTATAAAGAGACTTGATTTTACGGATACTGGGTTGCAGGAGGGTCGGTGCCTTTGTATTAGATCTTTGTTAGCAGCTAAGTGATGTAAGACTCGGCTTTTGAAGGAGGACAGTCAGTGGGTCTGATACGTTCTTTTGCTGTTATGTATTCCACCAAAGTGATTCAAATCCATCTACACATGAAGAGTCCTTTCTCTCCCCAGAAGGCTCTCTGCACCCTCCCGACGACTCCAGCAGCACAGCAATTATAGCAATGCTGTTATGTTTATTCACCTCCTGTCCTCTTTGTAGACCATCTGTAGGCTTCTGTTTATGGAGTTGGAAAAGACCTAATATGACCTCTGGAAATACCTGGAAGGGCGTGTTTTGTTAAGATTTTTGGGAATGAGGAAAATGACATCCTGTTACTAATTTAATTCACTTTTACATGGATCTTATTATCAAGAAGCCTTGAGTTTTGCAGGATTTATTCTTGATGGGTATCCCAGCTTTATTCTAAGAACTTGTAACTTTTATTTTTATAATGGGATGGGCAGATCCTATTATTACGCTGCTGGATGAGCACACACATAAACAGACTGTTCTCCTAAACCTCATCATTGCAGACTCATTGCTCTACTCCATGGCTATGTCTTTCAAGTGCTGGAGGTCTTTCTGAAGAATCCTCTTGGTCCATTTTCCACTTCTTACTCACACATCTCTTGAGCATGGCTGTACATGGAGACCAGTGGTGACTGATAGCTGTAACCCAGCACAAAAAAACCAGAAATTAACAGTTTCCTGTAGACCACCAGAGGATGCATCTCCTAGCTCAGTTCAGGAGTGCCTGTTGAAGCAGACCTCCCAGTTGTCCCCCCTCACGGTGCTTGGAATGCACTCATTGCTCTTAATGACCCTAAGCAGTCTCACCTGGGGCCTCCACACCGTACCCATGGGCCTGGCAGCCCATTTAAGCTCTGCCCTGGGTGCTCAGTCCTTCCTTGAGCAACATGGGAGGAGCACTGCTCTCCAGCTCAGCTACAGCTGTGCCCTTGCCTGGCCACGGGCCCTGCTGGGCTAGACACCAACCTGAGGCATGATTTCCTGGCTTGACCTGGAGCTGGCTTACCACCATGGACCTGCCCAACAGTCATGGGGCTTTGTCTGACCCTGATTACCCTCACTGGGCCTGACCCTGATCTGTAAACTGACTCACCTGCTTTACCTTGGACCTGCTTCATCACCATGAATGTGCCTAAAGATCTGAAGTCTAGCTGACCCTGGCCGCTGTCTCCAGACCTGGCCTGGTCCCTTGCTTGGGCACTGTAGCATGGGGCTGGTGGGTGAGGCCCCATCCTGCCAACCAGGTTATCTCTTTGGCTGCTGGTTTGCTGTCCCTTAGAAAGCAGCCAGCCCTCGCTGCACATCATAAAGCCAACCTGAAATGTTTTAGCTATCCTGGGTCCTCGGCACCAGCTCATTCACTCCCTGTGTGTGCTCCTGCTGGGACTTGGTAACGTGAGAGTAGACTAAATGCTGTGCAGAAAGCAGACATCTTCATCACGTGTTACTCTCAGAAGTGCCTCAGAGGCTACGTGCCACTGGAAGTTGTTGGACATAAACGCCGTGAGCTGTGTTCAAGGTATGAGCCCCATGCAATGGGAGTTAGGGCACTCCAACACCAGAGCCAGCGAGCCTTAATCTTTCAGTCAAAAAAAAAATGAAGTGGGTGCAGGTTGCAGTGAGAAAGTCTAAGGTGTTGCACTGTCTTGAAAATTATATGTATTATTGTATGTTCTGTGGTTGCGTTGTCTGAGGTGTGACGCATATTGGTAAAATTCTTCTCTGACCCTTTTCTTGCCAGCCGATGTCTCATCCCTCTCAACCATCCCCACAAGCACCACCCTTCAAAGTCCTTGTGGAGAGATGTCGCTCCGAACCCCTCTCCCAGAGCACCCCGATGGGGCTGGACCAGGTGGGAGGGCGCATGCAGCACTTGCTCAGAAGACGCGGTGAGTAGCTTCGCGGTGTTTTTCTCCCAGGTTTGTTTTTTGGGTCTCGCCCATCCTGCAGAGCAAGCCAAGGGCAGTATGGGTTGAAAAGTCAGACGTGTGGCTCGCATCCATGCTTGTTACAACCCTGGAGCCAGGTGAGGGAGCTCTGATAGCCACATGCTACGGAGTTTCTTGCTAGCTAATAAGACCTTTTTGTATACAGTGTCTTTATGAAATAAGGCTATTTTCTCTCTTTAATGTCTCTGAACACAGTCCCTATAATTTGGTTATGAGAAGATGAACAGATAGGCACATAAGGTGTAAAAGCTGTTCAGCAACGTCTGTGCGAGTTTTTGTTTGGTAGTTTCCTCTTGGCTTTCTGTCCTCTTACCAGCCTCTGTTGTGAGTACTTGCCATTTGGAGGTGGCAAGCGGTGATGGATACTGAGATCAAACTCACGTCTCATGTTTGTTTGGAAACACGGCAAGAAGTGAGGTTTTTTTTTCTCCTATGCTTGGGTACTCTTCCTGATCAAGCAGAGAATCTCATGAGCCAAAGACTATGATGAGCTATCGTCTGCATTTGTCCTGCTCAAAACGACCCTAGAGAAAGCACTACAGAATGTATTTGCTGAAAGGGTCTTGTGTTGGCAGGTAAATAGGCTGATGGTTGAATAGACGACATCATTTTTTGAACCTCTAATTAAAAAGATGGATAATTAGAGTAAGGACATTATTTCCTGAAGGGATACTGCTAACACCAAGACTCCTGTGATTTAGCAATGGGCAAGTACGGGAGTGCTGCCAGACTGTGCTGGCATTGCTCAGGAGCACACGAGGGATCCAAGTAGTTAATGGATGGTGGCAGCACATCAGGGTTAAGAAGAACTAGGAAGGAAAAGGCAAAGTGGCTGCCTTTTTGATGGCTCTTCTGTCGGGGTGCACACGTTTCTAGCACATGGGGAGTAACACACGCAGCTCTCAAAATGTGAGCATTACTGTGTTTGCACATTGCTCCTGAGTGCTACTATGTCGGCACGTTGCCTCTGGAGCCTGGTAGCAGCCTCTTGCTATAATCGGCGCTCGCTCTGCAGCTTGATTTTCTGTGAGTCTAGAAAGTGAAACGTGTGTTGCTAAAAATAACAGCAGGCTGCCTGCGTCAGCATCGCGTTTAGGAAATAGGTCTCAGTGCAATCTCTCTCCCAGCAACGCTGGAAGAAAATTAGGATTGCTGCCCACCCAGCCATGCCAGGGCTGCAGCAGGGTCCCAGCTCTGCTGCACTCTGTGCCACTGTCCTGGGCAGAGCAGAGTCCCCACCTATTTGATTTGGGGGCAGGGAGCATGTAGCGTGTGTGTGCGTTTTGCCCCTGTAAGGTAAAGGTGACCTGAAACCCCAGGAGCGGGGGTGTGGATCTCCGCTCTCCCAAACCCTGGGACCATTTACGCTTTGTTAGCTGGTTTCAGACCCCTCAGGACTGACACAGTCTGAAACCTCTGCCTGGGTTAGAGGTGCATCAGGAGAAAAGAAAATTAGCGTTGTGCATCTTTCAGGGAAGAATTCCAGAATTTGGCTGTCTTCCGTAGATGCCTTTCTCTGTGAACGGGATGACAAGCCTCCAGGGGATGGGAACACCCGTGGGGGTGTGTATGCATACGCAGGCACAATATGTGCGCTGGCCGGGCCACGTGCACCTGCGGACAGGAGCCTGTGCTGGCAGCCGCCGTGGGGGCACCAGCGGTGCTCAGCTCTGCTTCCTTCCTCCCAGTGGCTGTCACTCCAGGCTAGGGGATGCGAAGAGTCTGACGGAGGAAGGGATTAACATCTAACCTTGCCAAATGTGGGAGGGAAAAACCCCGGTCTCACACAGAATGGCAGTTTCACCTCAAAAAGAGAGGGATAGGATGGGGAGCTGAAAATTTGCGTTGATTAGAAAAGCGAAGCTTAATTTTGAAAGGTGAGTTGCCAGCCCTCCTCCACCATTTACCTCTTTACAAGCTGTTCTGTGCTTGGGTATGTACCATCTGTAAGGCCAGGCTGAGATTTGGTATAAATGGTATAGCTCGCTTAAAGCTAGATCAGAATTGCATCTGTGAGGGATTGGCCTGAAATGCTCGGGGTGAGAAGTAGCCCAGTTTCTTTAAAAACAGCTTTTATGGACTTTTCCATTTCTGTTTTCTGCATAAATTCGAGGAGCTGTTTCTTTTTCAAGGCATTGCATCATACGGACCACGACGACTGTAAAGCTGGGATTTCTGCAGGTCCAAACTGCAGAGGTGCTGTTAGCAGTTATGACCCAAGGAGCGATTGCGCTCTTAATACTGGTGCATGCAGATGAGGCTCTAGTGCTGCCCGGTGCTCCTGGGAGAGCATTCTGGCTTCACACCCAGCTTGTCTGACCCCACCTGCTTACACCACCTCTGAATTTGGCTCTCGGCTCTTAGTTTGTGCCTGTTTTTTTGTAGTATCCAAGCTGCGCTATTTTTCTTCTATCCCAAGAGCACTGAATAAAGCACCTAAATATACTCTCTGCTCTCTTTTTCTAAAGAAGAGGTTGAATGAGTCTCTTGCAAACAATTTTGTTTCTTTCATTTAAAAGAACAGCCTCCGCCCCCAGCCTGAGCTAAAGCACAGCATTTATCTTTTGTCGTTCCTTTTTTTTCCTGTGGATTTTATCCTGGCAGCTGAGAACGAACAGGCTTCAAAGACTCTGAAGGTGCGCGGGAACTGCAGGAACGGTGGACGTCGATGGAACCTCTTCAAGCCTGGAGCTGAGAAGCTGCAAATCAGTAGGGTAAGGTGTTGTTTGAAATATGCCTCTGCCTGCTTCAGGGGTAGTATTTACCTGCCACGTGTTTAGCCTCGGAAACTAACAACATGCTTTACTAACAGCTTCCTGAATCTGTGGTTCTTTCAGCTACAGATGGGGATTTTTTTTGTTATTGGAGTTATTTTGTAGCAATAAAAGAATAGGTGCATTATCCTTTCCCCTCTGGATTAGTTTCCCGTCAATGTATATCGGAGGCTTTATGGTCTAACGGAGGCATTGGGCCTCCCGTTTCTTTGGCTGAGTATTCCTTGCAGGTGGCTGCAACTGTGACGTTTCAGATCACCTATAGATTTGCTCTGTGGTTTTGATGATCTTTCCCCCCCCCCCTTTCCCTTTTAACCATGTGTCTTTTGGGTTTGGTACTGCTACCAGCACTGTCTTGGTGACAAATTCATGTCACTGATTCTTTCCCAAAGCGTTTCGCAAATATAGGCACAATCCACTTTGTTCTTTTTTTTGTGAATGACACTTCTAGCGGGGAGAAGTAAAAGCTGTTGTGGGCCTGGGGATGTCCATGTCTTTCTCTGGGAAAAATTCAGAAAAGATGGCAAAAATTGGACCATTTGTCTGATACGTTTCCTTGCTTGTGGGGGGGGTTGCTCTTCACCTATGCTGTGCTGTGCGTTTGAAGTCTGGCGACCTTGGTTATTCCATGGTCTTGTTTCAGATTTGTGTCATTTGTGAGTCTGGTTTCGCTGGTACCCGACATATAAGACTCTGGATTGTCCAAAAACAATTTGCTAGCTGGCAACTAACGTGATGCAAGGGGAGTTTTCTAGTGAATAGGGCAGAAGGGATTTAGCCCTTATTGTTCCTCTAGGGCAGACAAACAAAGGATGATCTGGGAGCCAGGAATCTCCCTGCTGGAATTGAGAGGGGGAACTGACCTTCTGCAGTTGTGTCTGTGTGGCTCTTTTCCTCCCCATTACTTGTCTTCCTTACCAGTCCTTTATTGTATTCATTTTCCCTTTGATATCTGATGAACTGCTTTCCTGAAATGTGATTTCCAGGGAGGACCTGGCCTCTGTCTGTGTTTTTGTATCATAGAAGCAGTAAGTTGGCTGTGAGTGAGACTGACTTCTCCAGCCTGCTTGCGTTGGGTGTTGGCTTCCAGGGAAGACGTGCAGGGATGGACCACTGGTATTTCAGCCACTTGTGACTTTCTGGAATGCCATCTTGCATCACTTCTTTTCTCTTTCCTGATTTCTTTGTGGGCTGAGACACAAGCCAGAGGATAGACAGACAAGGAGTTCAGCCTTTCCTTTTCTCTCCCTTCCCTTTGGGTCCCACCTTGCTTCCCAGACATAAACTGCTGCTTTCAACTCAGGAAGGCTGTTTTGGTTATAGGCATGCTGAACATCTAAGCTCCTGGAAGATAAAATGATCCAAATCCAATAGAGCTGTTTGTCCTCGGGGCCAGAATAAAGGTAGGCGACTGCAGAGTTGCTGTTACAGCAATGAAGTATCCCGTTGCACAGTATGCAAGCCCTACCTCGGCATATCATCAGGTGTGTTATTCATATAAACCATTTCCATGTTCAGGATCTGGGGCTGGCCAGTGCATGGATATGTTTGGTCTACCTTAATTAATCAAACACTTTCTTAATCTCTTAAGAGGAGCCATAAGTTTTGCAGCCTTCATAGCTTTCCTTCAGGCCCTGCTTGGAAACCAAGGTGCGATTCTGTTTTGACACAGTATTGCTACTGAATGCATGAGAAACAAGATGGCCTGTGTCCTGAGTCATCTCAATAAAACCAGACCTGTTTCTGATTGCAAATAGAGCCTGACATTAGAGCACCGTTACAAAGGCAACGGGAAACTTCAGCAAACCAAAATTACTGCTGAAGTTTGGGAAGGGTTAGTTAAGGAACTTTGCTTCTCCAGCGGTGATGCCTAGGAAGGATGTGGAATTAGAAAGGGAAATGAGCTTCTCATGAGCACAGAGACTCATGTGTGATGTTCGGCTCAGACACGGGCGTGCCAAAGGCCTGTGCATCACTGGGACAGAGAATTGGGTTTGGGTGCTGATCAAGACGCCCTCGGAGACTTGTTCAGCGCTGCCATTAGGCAGCTTGTTGCTCAGCCTGCATTACAGTGAACATGCAGGTGTGAAACCTGTGCCGGGGTTTATAAATCAGAGGTACTGTGTTAAGTGCTGCAAGAGTAGGATATATAAATATGGCTCACAATAGCAGTGCTGGAAAATTCATCTGTCGCCTCTGCCCCAAGCTGAGTGAAGATCTATGGGTCTGTAAATCACCTCTTTGCCAGAAAGAAATTTCTTCTTTGGCAAGATGTATAAATTTGAGATAAGATATGTGGGCTTGGGTATCTCTTGTCGGGTGCATTCATTGACAGCTGACGACCAGTCAGGTGGCAGAGCTAGCACAGAAAGGAGTAAGTTATCCTTCCAAACCAGAGGCCAGGCTTCTGCGGAAACTGTGCCTGATTTCTATCTTGAATGGGAATGCGTGAGGTGGAGAGAGAGCAAGAGGAGACTGATAAACCATTGGGCTTGTCTTAGCGGCATTGGTGCCATCTGGGCCCTTGAGGAGATCTGGGTGGTTGTGCAAAAAGAGCATTGGTATCACTACATGTCAGGCAAAAACGCAGAGCTGTTGATGAGCAGCTGCCTTGGGAACCCTCAGAGGCTGCTTATTCTTTGCTCTGTGCAATGTGCAGATTTTGGCAAAAAACATTTCCCTCCCCCTCCCTTCCTCTTTTTTTCTTTTTTCTTTTTCTTTTTTTTTGGGGGGGTAGAGTTGTATGTGTGATTTAGAAGTGGCAGGTCTTAACTATCTGCTAACCCAGGAGTCTGGGCTGAGAGGCTGATCCTAAGCCCAAGGAGGAACCCTGCTTGTCAAGACCACTGCTTGTCACTCTCGTTTGTCACATCTGGTAACAGTGTCCATCACTTTGCAGCTGGCTGCGTCTTAATCCATCTGTCCAGACAGCAGGGATGGCAAAATGCAGTTGCAGAAATAAGTGGTGGTAGCAGGAAAGGAGAGAAGGGCAAGTGTCTAATCCTGTGCTGCATCTCATCTTCATCCTAGGAGTATGTGTGTGCATGCACAGACCTGTGTTATTTCTTGCTGCTCATGGCTCTCTTCTATGCCCAAGCTGTCCTAACAAGTGAGCGTCTGCAAGTCTGAGCACAAGCTTTAGTAATTTTCTATAGAGTAGGTAAGGTTTATTGTTCCCGCTTCGTAGGTGGGGATAAGAAAACTGAAGCACCAGAGGGTGGTACACGCAGAGCCATGCAATGATTTTTTTATATCTCTCCTAATTTCAAGAAGCAGGAAAGAAGTAAATAGGATCAAACTGAGTCAACTTTTAAAAGCTTTCAGTATTTTTTTTTTTCAGAAGTATGCTTCTAAGCCTGGAGAAGACTCTGAATTGAAACAGTTTATGTGCAAAGCATTTGCTTTTAGGACTTAGGTCACTCAGAGCCTTTGCTTTTGTGGGAGCAGTTTGGCACAATCAAGACCAACTTGCATGGGACCTCAAGGTGCCCAAAACTGCAGGCTTCACTGCAGCAGACAGCTGAAGTGCCAAAGAGTAACCCAAAAGGCTTCCCTAGCTCTGACGGGCCGAGGGTAGATTTATCCTCAGGCAGGTCCTGCCAGCTGGGCCATGGCTGATCCCTGGGGACAATGGAGAAGGGGAGAAATGAGTTACTTTCTCCAGCCCCAGAGCAATTCTGGGAGATGTTTTATGGTCTGGATGGCAGAAGCAGAGGATGACAGTCCCATCCTGGACTGGCTTCATTCTGACCCAAATCACTGGCCTCTGCTGCTATTTATGAAGGGACTTGTTGCTTCTAGTTAGCTGTCCAGTCGTTTCAGCTCTTTCCATAGACAAATGCTGTGGGGACGTACTCCAGAAGGAGATTCCGCCCATTCCAGAATTGGAACCATCCTCTCAGTGTGTGGAGGCAAGTGTGTGTTGGTTCTCTCTATCTTACCTGTGACTAGAGATTTAATTTTTAGCCTTTAACTTAGCAAAGATGACTGCAAACATTCCCGATCTCTGCTCCTTTTCCCCCTTCCTGTCCTGCGTGCTCTTGTACAAGGGACTAAAGCCCAAATTTATATGCTGGAGGAAGCCACTGCTAATTAGTTGGAATGGAAACTTTGCGTGAGAGGCAGCTTCTTTGACATCCCCTATACTAATAACAGGCAGGCCTGCTGTGCAAAAGTGTTGGATATTCACAAAAACCCCACCAACCTAGCCTGTCCTTTCTCCTCTCTAAGTCATGAGCTATTTTGAGAGGCTGGTGGGGGGTTGCCATTGCAATGGTGGTGGTTGTGCGAATCCACAGCTCCCCAAAGCTAATTCCCTACTGGCGTGTTTATGAGGAATTGCAATGGTGGTGGATGTGCGAGTCCACAGCTCCCCAAAGCTAATTCCCTACTGGCGTGTTTATGAGGAATCGGAAATTCAAACAACGCGCAGCCTCCAAGAGAACAGAGTGAAGGGAAAGTTGATTTGGGTTCTCTCTGTGTTGCAATGAATAGGGAATGCTGCTTGATATTCAGTACCAGCTCTCCTGCTTTCTATTTTTATCTTCTAGCATAATGCTGAGTGAGCATTTTGTTTAGTGGGGTTATTTTTTTCTATTTGAAATGTGTCCTGCACCATGTTTCTCTCGCCTTGCTACTTAGGGGAGGAAGGGGGTGTGGCAGGGACTGTGGACTGCTGCATTCTGATACGTGAGCTGTATGTAATCATAGTCATTTTTAGTCCTTCTGTCCATGTGAATAGGCTGATAGAAAAGCATAGTCCCGTGGCTTTCCTGGTGCTAATTAGTTTAAATATCAGTGCGCTGGTTACGAGAGGTTTATATGCACATATAGAGGGCTGCCAGGAAAATGCAGCCTCTTTTAATCTCTTTTCCCTCATTTTAAACATTCAGTACTTCTCCTGGCAGGGTATGTCTGATCTGTATATTTTTGGGGGGGTT